TATTCAGATAATGCAGACATTGTGATGTTTTAAAGAATAGTGTTGGAGATTTAGCTTCCCTTTAATGTTCTCATATTTATGAAAAACCCAGCTGTTTCCTTGAAAAAGACATGATATTATTATTAGAAATTGATTTGGAAATTACGTTATTTTAATAGTTACTCATGAACTGAGGTGGGCTGGTCTAAGGCTTGAAACTCCAGGGCTGAAAAGGAGTCCCACTCCGGCCCTGGACGCACTTTACGTGTTCACTTATTCCTGTGTATTTGATGACTAACCTAGTTATGGGCTATTCCTATACTGTCACGATAACCAGTGATCTAAGATCATAGATCGCTGGAAAACATTCACTTTTACTCTGACTACAATTCTGTCACGATATGGACTAAAATCCTGTCATGCACCACACAGACCCACCTGTTCCAGTTCTGCTTTGATTTCACACACTTTCACTTTGAAAGCTAAAGTGTCAGTGCCAATTTTCTTACTTATTCTAGTATTTCTAGAGTTTAAACATAGTAGAATTTAACATTATTACAAGGTTAAACTCTCCAGTCAAGTTTAAACCCTCCAATATTTAAGCTTTAACAAAGACAAATTGTTTTTAATTTACACAGTGAAGAAGACTGTTCAGTGTTATTTTGCATTTGATAATTAAATATGCACATAAAAACTGTCAGACTTGCCACAAAGAATGTATGTTTTCTAAAGTTGCACTCCCCACATAAAATCTTTTTAAATAAAAATTCTTTCCACACAGAACTTTTCAAGTAATCTAAGTTTTAATATCGTAATATACAATGCATCCAGAAAGTATTCATGGTGCTTCACTTTTTCCAAAATATTTTTTGTTACAGCCTTATTCCAAAATAGATTAAATTAATTTATTTCTTGAAAATTCTACACACAATACCCCATAATGACAATGTGAAAAAAGATATTTTGAAATTGTTGCAAATGTATTAAAAATAAAAAACCTGAAAACTCACATGTACATAAGTATTCACAGCCTTTGCTCAATACTTTGTTGATGCACCTTTGGCAGCAATTACAGCCTCAAGTCCTTTTGAATATGATGCCTCAAGCGTGGCACACCCGTCTTTGGGAATTTTTGCCCATTTCTCTTTGCGGCACCTCTCAAGCTCTATCAGGTTGGATGGGAAGCGATGGTGTACAGTCATTTTCAGATCTCACCAGAGATTTTCAAAAGGATTTAGGTTTGGGCTCTGGCTGGGCCAATCGAGGACATTCAACGAGTTGTTGTCAAACCAGTCTATTGATATTTTGATGTTGTGCCTTGGGTCATTTCCCTGCTGGAATATGAACCGTCGCCCTAGTCTGAGGTCAAGAGCACTCTAAATCAGGTGTTCATTCTTTGTACATTGCTGCAATTATCTTTCCCTCTATCCTGACTAGTCTTCCAGTTCCAGTTAGGGATAGTATTAGCCTGGTGATGAACGCTGCCTGGTTTTCTCCAAACGTAACGCCTGACATTCACTCCAAAGAGTTCAATTTTAGCCTCATCAGACCAGAAAGTTTAATTTCCTATGAGTACTTCAGATGCCTTTTGGCAAATTCCAGGTTCGGATTGGCCTCCGTCTGGCCACTTTACCATATAGGCCTGATTGGTGGATTGCTGCACAGATGGTTGTCCTTCTGTAAGGTACTCCTCTCTCCACAGAGGAATGCTGGAGCTCAGACAGCGTGACCATCAGGTTATTGATCACCTCCCTGACTAAGGCCCTTCTCCTCGATCACTCAGCTTAGATGGCCTGCCAGCTCTAGGAAGAGTCCTGGTTCCAAACATCTTACACTTACAGATGAAGGAGGCCATTGTGCTTATTGGAACTTTCAGAGCAGCAGAAATTTTTCTGTAACTTTCCCAACCTCGTGCCTCAAGTCAATCCTGTCATGGAGGTCTATAGCCAATTCCTTTGTCTTCATGCTTGGTTTGTGCTTTGGCATGCACTGTCAACCCTGGGACCTTATATAGACAAGTGTATGCCTTTTCAAATCATGTCCAATCAACTGAATTAATTAACTTTAGTTAATTGCATTGTAGTTTCATACAATTACATTGCAAAACCAATTGAATTGCCTAAAAAGACAGAAATCTGCATCCTTATTAAACTTATTTATAATAGTAAATAGCTGATTTGGGACACATTATTTGGAATGGGAAATGTATGAAGTCACACTCGAGACCCCAACTGGTTCAATACAGGAAATGCAAATGCAGATTTTAGTACTGGGTGAATAATGGGCTATATTTTCAAAAGTGTTTTTCAGACGCCATTAAACTTCCAGGGAAAGGTTGATGTGGCTATTTTTAATGTCATAACAGCCTCCATAATGTCATTTAATTAAAATATAGTCAGCTAAATAGAAATGAGCATTTATTTAGTTGTTCAAGATGAAAGGCTTTTTAAATGCAATCGTCGTTAGGTCTAGCAAGCAATCGTAGAAAATCCATTGAAAAACTTTAGTAAAATTTATTTCCATGTTTTTAGGACATGGCGTGGAACAATAAAACTTAAAACAGAGTTTCTTTTCAGGCAGTGAGGATTATTGTTCATTAAAAGAACAGATCTTACATGCAGTGAGTTTACAAAGGCATGACAGTTCGCCATGCATATAGAACATTGCATATAGCCCGTTAATGAGGTAATAATTAACTATATTATTAGCGTGCATGTCATTTTTTTAACTTCATTTTTTATTTTGAATGATAATGTGATGCTGCTATAGAATTAACCTGCAGTTAGCTGTCATGAGAGGAAGCATGTCAAAAAAAAAGAGAAATGATCATATAGTATGTGTTACTAATGTTAAATTACACTAAATATGTTTTTTTAGACAACCAAATGTCTAAAAGGCCTATCTAATGTTATATTACAGAAGTTTTGCATAATGGCAGAATAAGATTTTTATAAGATGTATGTACCTGTCAGACATGGCCACCTGCTCCAGCATGGCTGATCCTGTGTTGGTCTTCCAGTTGCCAGATATGGATGTCCTCCTGTCCAATAACACAACAGCAGGAATGACACAGTGTCTCACAATCCGTTCCAATTATAATGCAAGTGCAAAAGATGATGTTTGAAACCAGAATAATATAGTGGCTAAAATCTCTTACATGTAGGCCTTGTAATTTTCCCCAATTTTCTGGATTCGGATGTCATACTTGGCATCAATAAAAGGCTCAGATGTGGCATACGTCTTTGTCAAAGCCACAACACTAGCAATGTCTTGGAAATCATACTGATTGTCTACTTTGACCTGTACAGGAAAAAGACTGAACTAGTCATATGGTAATATAGATAGTTTGTGCTTTGATTTATGTGCAAATGTAATTAATGAAATCAATAATGTAACTGGTCATATATATCTAAACAGCAGTTAATATAAACATTAAAGAAATTATTTCATTCATACCTTTCCCATGCCAGAATGAGCATGACCCATCTTCACTACCACAGGAAAGCCAGGTGTAGTAATCTAATGACAAGAGAGCAATTTATTTTAAAAGTATTTAGAGACACACAGTGTTTCCCACAGGTTTGAAATATACTTGCGGTGGTAAAGCCGGATTGAAACACTTATTACCCACAGCACCTATTACCTCTCTCTCGCTCTCTCTCAAGTTGCTATATTGGCATGACATTATTGCAGAAGCATTTTTGATATGTTTAAAGGTTCAGGACACCCCGGAGAACTTTTTTTTTTTTTATATTAACAGATTTGTGCGTGTTGAGCATCAGTTAAGACAATGTTAGCACCTGTCAGCTTTAATTGTGGGGAAAACTGGATAATTTTGAGCTTTTGTCAGCTAATTTCAGCTTCCGGGTTTAAAATGAGGGGCGGGATCAAAATCGGCGACGTAGCGCAGTACTGCAAGTGCAATGATGACGCGTCGGTTTCTCATTATTATTCATAGCGGAGTTTTCTTATCCTATGAGAACAGCCGGCTGCTTAATTATTTATGAGACCTGCCAGACCTGCCAGTGTCAAGCCCGAGCTGAGAGACACAGAAACCACAGCACAGTATTTAGCCGTTCATGAAGGCTCATATGCGTTTGTTTCCATGATCCACGGGGTTTGTTGCATGTTTTCCCCCACGATCTTATCAGGGCCGATCATACAGCAAAGCTGTGTGTGTGCTGCTAGCATTTTTGTCGGGAAAGCAGCACGAGAATTAGAGAATGGCGGACGCTGTCTTTTATCAGGAGTTCGTTCACATTCAGACACATCGCCGTGCTGCTGTGTTTGCCTAAATCCTCCAGATTACCAGCAGGGTTAATGGTTAAAATAGACAGGTCAGGAGACCTGCTGCACTGAGTCTGCTGGATACGGGGATTGAGGGAGAAGTCCTCATTTATAGTGTTTACATGAACACACTTATCTTTATAATGATATAAATTGTGGTTGTCTGTATATGAAATTACGAATAACACATATAGCAGGGCATTAAATCACTGTTCATTTCTTTGCATTTTAACTTTGTAAACTATAAACTCATGCGTCTCCTCTTTGTGTCTCATTTTGTGAGCTAACTGACAACAACAGTTATTCACTCCCCTTCTCCCCTGCTGGCCACGCCCACTCCTGCCCGATGCTCGCGGAGCTCCACGCCCATTAATCATGCATCTTTTGAAAAAATTCTGAAGTAGACTTTAACCGAAAGTGGGGGGGTGTCATGGCCCTTTAAAGTATGTAATATAATGACATCATAAAAAAAATAAAATACACAGCAAATGAGAAATAAATAACAAAAAAACAAGGATTAAAAATATACAATGCTAAAAATTATAATAATTACTAGAATAAAAAGTTTAGATTTAATGAAGGCAAATTAGTTGGTTAACCATTTCTAATGGTGTACAAATGTTTTGCAGCCAGTTTATTTTGTTCTTTTCAAGTGTATAGTAAAGTTTATTTGAGTCGTTTGGTAAATGTTTAATCATTTAAACATTTAATTATTAAGCATTTAATAAAATGTATTAAATGATTAAACATTTTAATATTCTATAAATAAGGTTAAAATTATAATCATAATGTGTAAAAAATATTTATACTACAATTTTAAATATATTTATTTTAAATATATATAAAAAATTCATTTGGATTTGATATCAAATCCAAATGAATTATTTATACCAAATATGACAGCTACAACAAGTTGTCAGTCTTTAAACTGTTTATCATCAGGAGAACATGTTGTATTTGCAGCCTCAATGGTGCTTGATAGGCATCAATTCTGCTGCAGTAAGAGAAATGCGAGAGCTAAATTCATCCGCTCAGGCACAAAATGAGCCTCCAGAATTGTGTCTGAGTCTGCTGCACTTTATCTTAAAAAAAAGGCCAGTGAGAGAGGAAAACATTCTGCCGGAGACTGTGTCTGGGATCATTTATGTGTGAAGATGCCTGCAGTGGAGAAATAGGAGGAGGTGGTGGCACTGCAGTAAGGCTTCCTCTCCTAATAAAACCTGAACTGTGTCTATAAGGACTATGATGCACCAAGCAATTATACCAGTCTGGGGGTTATAAAATTTCCGGTCTAGACAGGACTGTGCTAAGTTGAGTGGAGCAGCACTTCACTGGGGCACTGTATATGCATGAACCTTTTAGATTTTACTGTGTACGAAGTCCAGGCACCGCTGTCCCTTCCACGGATGAAGGCTTTGTATTGGGTCCAGAGGGACCGTCTAGTGTCCTATAGCTCAGGGTTTACTAGCGAGGAGAGGGACAGATGGTTAACACTCACCATCTCCTTGTGGTTGGGGTAGTAAACCTGGTCGATCAGTGGGAACTCCTCTGGACCCAACTGCTTGTACAATCTGGACAACTGAGAGAACTGAAAGAACAAACAATCACATCGAGACATATATTATAGAGCAATAAGGAATAATATAGGTGCAACTATAACTGGAGATGCATCAGAGAATGTTGTCAACCTGTTGAATTCATGTTTAAGAAATAATTCCAGGCTTGTGATGGTATCAAATTTTCCTAAAAGCTTTTATACAGTATTATTCCATTATTGATCTAAGCTGCAGAAAAAGTTGCTTTAACAAGTATAAGTGTGTGTATGTGTTGCTTTATAGCAGGGGTGCCCAAACTTGTTTGAGGGGTGGTGGGCCTAAATATTTCGAACTGTATTACATTAAAGTTGCCATGATAACTTCCTAATTTAATATTTGAGACATACAGAAAAAAATGCTTGAATTGTATTAATAATATTATAATGTACTTAGAATAAAATTATAAATATCTCATTTATATCACAATGTGCCCTAAAAGAGTTTTAGTGCCACACACATATATCTTTTTTTATTGCAATTTTAAAACAAACAAAAAACAAGGGTAATATTAAACTAAATATTAACATCAAATTGACATCATAATAAATACAATGTATAAAAAAAGAAAAAAATTTATAATCTTTCAAAGAAAAGGTCTAAGGCTTTAAGATAATTAACAGGTCTTTTTGCTTTGTATTTCTTGTTTCTTTTAACATACATAGGTACAAATAGGTAATGACCTATTTCTATTTTAAAGTGAGTAAAATTAGTTTTGTTTTTTTTACTGTCCATTTACATTTATGAATAAGAAAATCCATATATAATGAACAAATTAACAATATACCAAATTTTGAAGTCAACTGTATTCTCATAAAAAATAAAAAATAAAATTATTCCAATGCAATATTCGTACTCTTCTTAACAAAAAAGAAAAGATCACACCAAAATATTTGCCTCACATATATTTCTGTCAACAACTAAAAAAAAATTTAATTCACATTTAATTGAAAATTTTCATTTCAGTTTGGTTTTTTTGTAGTTCAGCAATTAAACAAACAAACAAACAAACAAACAAACAAACAAACAAATGGTTATGTTAATTTAGAAATGATGATCTCAGTTTGCAGGATTTGCCCCAACTTTCCCCATCATTTTCCATCTCTTCTCTGATTGGTTGGCGAGCCCTAGTATGGGCATCCCTGCTTTATTGTATATAAATGTTCAGAGTAAACAAAAGTTTAAAAAACGTTATTCAAAAGGATTATAATTTTAAAAAGTACAATAGGTAACATTTTTACTAAGATCAATAAACTTTAGTTAATGCATTAAAATCAACAGTATGAAATAACCATATTTTTTACAGTTACAAGTTTAATAGTAAAAAATACATACAACTTATTGTTATCAATTGCATTTATTAAAACAATTATTATATGTTTTATTAGGAATCAACAGATAACCACTGAATATTCTTAAAAGGCATTCTAATTTTTTAAAAAATAATTATTCACGGTATATTAAAGTGCGATAATAATATTAAGCATGTTCACTATCACAATATATTATATTACTGAACATTAGAACATCTAAATAATGCAGCAATAAACCTGCTAAAATTACATAGTACATGTGTTATTTCATTCATTCACTTTCTTTCCGGCTTAGTCCCTTTGTTGATCAGGAGTCGCCACAGCGAAATGAACCGTCACGTGTTTTTTATCCCTGCTTTTTTTAAAACAGTCAAAACTTAAAAATTTTTATGATAAAAATAATAATTAAATATATATATATATATATATATATATATATATATATATATATATATATATATAATTACAAAGGAATTTTTTTACATATTTTTTTCTCTTTTTCTTTTCATTAAACAATGGTGTTTGTTTTGCTTAAATGTGACATATGAACTGAACTTCTCCTCGAGTGTGATATGTTTTGTATACTAATGAAGCATTTTTGCAGAGGTAGATGAAGCTTGTCTAAAATGAACTTGAGCTCTGCAACGAAACTTCCTGTCAGCAAAGAATTTGCAGTGAGAAGTCTTGTGCAAAGAATTAGTAGAAAAAAAGGAGGTATATATGGGTGCGGCCAATAGAGGACTGGGGAATGATTGACAAGTGACGAATTCCACTAAAGCTGCCTATATAAGTTAAAGTTGATGAAAACTGTGCATACAGCTGAAAGTAACTCTTGCATTGCATTGAGGATAACAGAATTCTGTGAATAAAATTAATCATTTGTAGCCAATAAATTGATAATATGTTAAACCTTGAAGAAAACCCTCTCATGACCTTTTGTTATTGAACAAGTATGAAATTGATTAAATATTCCAACAACCTGAAAATGCAAATAAATACAGGTTTCAAGATTTTAAAAAAGAAACCATTGTAATTTTGTAAATTGCAAAATGTTTAGCCAAAACATTAATGGTAGACTGTATGTGCAGAGGCAAGTATTGTTACTTTACAAAGTAGCATCGTCAATTACTAATGTAGCATGCATACAGCGTTTTATATGTGCAGCACCGATAATGCATTTATTTTCAATTATCAAAGGATTCAATCACACTAAGATGCTTACATGAGCAAACCTCTTCGCTCTCATTTACATGTAAATTTTATTATTCTAAATTAGTATCCTATATTTGCTAAGAAGTGTGGACATTTTACCGCCATTATCCACATAACCATGATTACTAACCATAGCTTTTCTTACATCAAATGCAAAGCAAATATTTATGGATTTGTATTGCCATTTTTTTATTTAAAGTGGAGCAAAGACTTCTTAAAAAGGTATTAAAAATGGAATTGCAAAACAACACTTACTCTTTGGTCTTAATGGTAATAATGTGGTTAATCTTTAATTGCATGCATGTTTACTGTGATTAAAATCTGTGTATGACACAGAGTTTAATGCAATTATGATTACTACAATTATGAGCCTAATTACATTGTGCATTGGGTTAACAAGAGGCAAAGTTTAATTGGAAAATTTCCAAAACTTCTTATTACATCCTATTACAATTATGTAATATTATGTTGGTGCATTTTAATGTAATGTGGATGAAGAATATATGAAGTATGATTGGCTGTCAATTCTAAAATTGCTAATTAGATAAGAAAAAAGATTTCCTTGTATGTCGTTGTCTTTACAGTTGTGATGTGGACTTGCAGAACATAGAACTTTATCGTTATATTTTTCATTCTTTATTTGAAAGGCCAATATGCTCCTCTAAAATGCTTTCAATGAGAATTTCTGTTGTTAAAAATTTTAATTCAGACAGACTTGCAAATCAATTGTGAACCTTTTTGGCTCAAATCATTAGAAAGAATTGACTAAAGAAAGCGATCCATTTAAGTCAAAGACTTGATTTATGCATTCCTCTCTAAACAAGAGCAACAATAAACTATAGTCAACATTTACATGCAATCAAATAATTCAGTAGTAATTGGATTGATAGCTCAATTGGACTGAAAGGGCTTAATGTTAACACATTTATGGATCAGACTTAGCTCGATCTAAATTAAATTTCAATTATAAGGGGTGATTTTTTTTCTCATCCAATGTTGAGAAAATGTAAACACTTGACTGAATTGAAACTGAACTGGTGAAACTACGAATGACATTTAAAATGTTTTGTTGAAAGTTGAAGGCATTTTTTATGCTGATAAGCACAGGCAATGCAGCCCAAAGCGTTATATTGCCATCATCTCCCAAAATTATGGCCGCATGATAAATCAAAATGGAATTACATTTACGATTAAGCAAACGCTGTGATTGTCAAGCATAGTTCTGTAATCTGTGGTAAATCTCCATTATGCAAAATTACAATTCCCCTATTATATGAAGAAGAAACCCAAGAAATTCCTACAGTGATTATTGAACGAACAGAAAAATTTACTGCCTCATTGATTCAGTATTATTGAAATAGTCAAGGAGAACATTTCCTAGAATGATTTATTTCAAATGCTTGCCTGAAGATTGAAAAGAGCTTGGAGTAAAAACGTGTTTTTAAATGTTGTATTTTTACATGTTTTCAGATGAGCAGCAACACAGAGTTCTATTTTATGGAGAAGCAACGCAAACATCTGTCTTTATCACAGATTGATTATCTTTAATTTCATTATTGTCTGCTTAAATCTTCAGTTTTAAAGAGATAGTTCACACAAAAAATTTTATTTACTCGTTTCTTTTATCTGTTAAAAACACCATATTTTAAAGAAAGCTGAAAAACCTGTAATCATTGGCTTTGTTTTTATCCGAAATTGTGAAATAAATTTATGTGATAAACTGGAATATCGCATAAAAAAACGTGCAAATAAAGCAGCGTTTCCATCCAACGAGTCAACGAGAACAAAATCATCACTTCCTGATTAACTGGTGCCAAATATCAAAAGTAAAAACTAAATTTGCTGAGGTAATAGAAGCTGCGTGAATCTTTTCTTTATTCAATATTTGACTTGCACCTCAAAAGACGATGCCGACATGCAATGATTGCGTGGTGGCGTTTGAAAGCGTGAGACACAGAAGCTCTTGACAGTTCTGGAGGTCATTAATAATATAACAACACTAATACTGAAATGGTTACAGCATTTTAGAATGGCCAAAACAACATTTCATATGTTTTACAATGTGCTCAGCCTGCTGGTTTGTCCATTTACACACATTTTCAGCATCACATGAACAATTATAACGAAATAACATGACCTTGTTTAATTAATATTTTGGAATTTGTTCAGTAAAAGTGTTTTAATCGTAGTTTATGCGCATCTTTTCTTATCGAATAAAAAGTGTACCCTAATCAGTTATGCGCATAAGTTTTTTATGTGCATTTTCAAAGATGATGAGCATCTAGGTGTTCCCATCCATTAGTTTCATTCGCATCTCCAAAATGCACTTAAAAAATAGCTGGATGGAAACGTAGCTAGTGACTTCGATCAGAAAAACTATATATGTGTACAAATTACTGTATAGGGGCGACGCGATGACGCAGTAGGTAGCACGTTCACCTCACAGCAAGAAGATCGCTGGTTCGAGCCTCGGCTGGGTCATTTGGCGTTTCTGTGTGGAGTTTGCAAGTTCTCGCTGTGTTCGCATGGGTTTCCTCCTGCTACTGTAGTTCCCCCCCAAGTCCAAATACATACAGGTGGTACAGGTGAATTAGGTAAGCTAAATTGGCTGTAGTGAGGGTGTGTAAATGAGCGTCTATAAATGTTTCCCAGTGGTGGTTTGCAGCTGGAAGAGCATCGTAAAACATAGCTGGATAAGTTGGTGGTTCATTCTGCTGTGGCGACCCCGGATTAATAAAGGGACTAAGCCGAAAAGAAAATGAATGAATTAAATTACTGTATAGTAAATGCTGCTTCATCTGAAACCAAACAGTGGAGATTTACTACTGATTACAGAACCAGCTTTGCTTACAAATTAAAATGACAATTGCCTTCGAATGTCGTCTGCTTTTTAAAACAAAGAAGGACACAGGGGGATTTGTTAGTATGAATTCTGAAACAAATAAATCTGAAAAAATCTGATCCAATTTAAATCTCGTGAATCATATAAAGGCCTTTGCCCCATTCTATCTCTTCCCTTTTTATTTATTATATCATTCTATTGGATAGCAGAACATTCTCAGTTGTACAGTATTTGCTGATGTGTGTAATGCTCACCACCCATGGTTTGTCACAGAAGTTGTAGACTGAGTGAAGAGAGTTGACACTTGGCAGACCAGCATACTGAAGTCCAATCACAATGTTCCTGTGGTCGCCGTTCTTGGCCATACTGAACGCATGCTGTCGCACCAGCACAAAATCTGGCTTGATACACCTAAATGACCAGAGAATTCATCAAATACAATGATCAGTCAATTACATTTATCTATCTATCCATCTATCCATCTATCTATCTATCTATCTATCTATCTATCTATCTATCTATCTATCTATCTATCTATCTATCTATCTATCTATCTATCTGTTTGTCTGTCTGTCTGTCAATTTGTCTATACATACAGTAATATATACATTACATATTTTTGCTTTGATTAAATCATGGTTGCTGCTTGAAATTTTATACAGTAATATTGTCAAAAAAATCTTTAATTATCCTCACTTTAACATTTGCGTAATTAGCTGCTGAATTCATTAATCATCTGTGAAATGGGAAAAACGTTCTGGGAGAGTTGCAAAACAGATGTTAAACCTACTTTGTGATTTTGTTGCCACTGCGGATGGCCTCAATATCCACACTATAGCTTCCCGTTGCATGAGCCACCAGATTCACCTCAGAAAAATCAGCCTTAAAAATCAATAGAAATCACCAGATGGAATGAATGGATCAATGCATTTCGTCAGTAAAGTGATGTCATTAAAGTATATACGCTAAAACAGCACCTGAGGCCTGCTGGTTGCCATTGTGGCTGTGAATAAACTACTATAGGGATTTTAGCTGACATTTCATTAAAAAAAATCAAAACATGAAATGAAATTTTTAAAAAAGACATTTGTTTTTCTGTGTCTGGTATTTCATAATATCGCCAAAGTCTTCTAAATCCTAAGATTATGGTGTTCTTATTAGTATTACATGTAAAACTCTAACCAAACAAGCAGTTGTTCGATAGCAAAATATTTCTTCTGGTAGAAAGTACTTTGGGCTTCTTGTTAAGCTGTCGTTAAATCTGCTTTGTGCAAGACTAATTGTATTATAGGATATTTTTCATTGACAAAGCAAATTCATTTTCTTTATCCTCATCTAGAATAGATTACATCTTGCATTTCATTAAACTAGGGGCATGTTACAAACATGAAAATAATTGGCACTGAAGAAACAGAAAAAACCCTTGCAATTTCCTTTCAGACTTACAGCAGAATTATCTATCCAGTGCATGTTTTGCTGACATTTAATTCATTACACAAACATGCTGTTAAGATGCCATCCATGCTGGTTAAGAAGAATAAAGAAAAACTCCCACCTGTTCTACTTTGATGTCACAATCACCATGAACCTTTTTGCCTTTGAACACCTTTGCCCTGAAAGAAGAAAGACCCATAAGAAAGAACATCATTTTGCACTCTTGTGAGTCATGGTTAACAAAAACACTTAAACTGCATCCAAACTAGATTATGCAACACTGAAATGGTGTGAAAATTGTGTATTTCGAATTTTCATCAAATAGGAATTCTTTGTGCAGGGGAGGCTTTTCAGTGTCTGCAAACTGGAACTATGTGACTTTAATGTATTTTACTTAATAATGTATGTGCAACTATTGTCAAATGTTCTTTTGTAAGTATGTTACAGAGATACAAGTGCAGAGATACAAATTCATGTCAAAACAGTGGTCATATTTAAAATAATGCGTTGGTTCATTTTTTCGACAGACAGACAGACAGACAGACAGACAGACAGACAGACAGACAGACAGACAGACAGACAGACAGACAGACAGACAGACAGACAGACAGACAGACAGACAGACAGACAGACAGACAGACAGACAGACAGACAGACAGATAGATAGATAGATAGATAGATAGATAGATAGATAGATAGATAGATAGATAGATAGATAGATAGATAGATAGATCTGGATGGATATAAATGTTTCCACCATATGCATTTGAAATGTTCTTTCCAGTTAAGTTAATAGTCCAGTAAATGTGTCACTAGCCCTCATGGGAAAAGTGAGAGCAACATCACACACTTTAATATGGTAAAGATTCTTGAGGCAGAGTGTGGGGTTCCTCAGATCCCCGTACCAGGGAAAACCTCTGGAGACCACAGAGGTTGTTGCATCCATGAAAAAAGGACAGTTCTCTGAGGAACCCATAAACTGACAACCCATTAACCCTTCTATACAGGACATTCTGATAGTCATAATACATATTGAAATGCATATAGTTCTTTGGGTATATAATATAGGACATTTGATCCTAGTTGTATTCACCTTTCAGAATTCCAAAACAGCTTCAATTACATCATTATTTCAAACCACTACTTATTTTCCAACCAGCGCAAGTCTACTCTTGAACCCAACAAAGCATTCCTTTTTAATCTGGACTATACGGCTAATGGAAATTTGCCGTAGGGTCTGCACCTCCATTAACCGGCCCAGACTGAATAGTGAAATGCGCACAAACACACGCGCGGGCACACCCACAACTACACGGGCGCGCGTGCCAGAAAAAAGGCCCACAGACTAATGAGTCACGACATTAATGTAGTGACTCCTTTTGGCCTGTATTAACACAAGCTGCACCTCAGGTGTGAGGCAGAAACATGAAAGAAACACCACTAATGCTCCAATTATCTGTTCGTGAACCGGCTTTACGCTCACTGAAAAAGCGCATATTTCTTTATTCATGCGACTTACCAGTCGGTCTGCTGGTCGTCAATGACCAGGAGGATTTTAGCATTGCCCGAGCCGATGCCTCTCTCGGTGGCCTCGTTGAAGGTGGCGGCGGCCGCGGCGGTGGTCTGTTTGACGGCGTTCGAAATGGAGGAGAAGAAGCCGGCGCCGGTGGACTGGCTGGGGGCGGGTTGACGCCTCTCCTGAGAGCCGGGCGAGAGCACCGGGGCTGGGCTCTGCTGCGGCGGATCGGGCCGCTGGAGATCGCCCATGTAGCCATTGGGCAAGTTGGACATGAAATTACTGTCCGATAGTCGACGTCGCAGGTAATTCATTGTGAAGATTAAAAGGGATGCGACGGTGAATTATCCCTCTAGAGGTTTTGCACCACGAATAAAATATCCAAGAAGAATGGGAAACCAATAAACTGTCCAATACCTAGGATGCAGCCGTGTGTTTCAGTTCAAAAAATGAGACGCGAAAAAGAGTCGATATACGCAATTCTCCAGGGTGCACCTCAAAGCAAAGATCGTGCTTCACACTTGCACTGCAACACATAAAAGAAACCAAATTAACGCTTTAATCACGGTCACGATAAATATGCATGGAGAAATAATTATGCTTGATTCACTTACATCACCGGAAAGCTCGTTCAACAATTGGTATCAGGCTCTCCTTCCATTTATGTTGATGTTTAGATGTTATTCCACGGGCGTGGAGACAAACACGACCCTAATGAAGAGGCACTTGTTAAAAGTGTGCTGCTCGCTCGGTGACGGTACAACTGTCATAAATGAAAGTCGGTGAGGCAAAATCTCCGGCCAGGTTCTCCGTGATCCGGTTGGGGGTTCGGAGGATGCAGGGATTGCATCACTAGTGCCATCCAATCCTGGTAATCCGCCCAGTGTTTTCCCTCGTCATTTCTCCTGACCCATCAACTGTTTCTCCTGGTGCGCACGTTCTTTACGCACGGGACAGCTCCGGGATGGTGTTTAGTGATGAATGGGGAGGAAAGACTGCTTTAGCGTGAGCTCGTGTTGGTTTTAAAGAAGCGAGGGGCTTCGACTGAGCATCATTGACAGTGGGTGGTGCTGTCAGTGATTAAAGAGCTTCTGCAGGTGAAGATGCTGAACTGTCACCATGGTGCCCTTCAGCAACACACATAAAATCCCGCAGGACTGTCCTTGTACATTATAAAGTGTTATGACATCATGTGATACATGTTTATTTTTTTTTATCTTTCATGTATTTTACAAAAAAAACTATACAAACAAAAATAACAAACAAAAATAATTTAGGTAAAGTTTTGCAGTAGACCTCTCACGATTATGCATTTTGAATTGATGATTGTTCTATAAAATATAATGCAAATGTCGATTTCTTTCTATTGTGTTTGTGTCATTTATTTTATATAGTTTTAATAGATTACAACATAATACAATTTTAACAATTATTATTTATATTAAAATTGCATTTATATACTACATTTTATCAATACAGGCCTGTATTGAAGCAGTGTCAGAAAAGATTTTTTATTGACCCCAGTGTCACCTTATTATTTAACAACATTTGGATATTCATTACAAAAATCATAAATAAATATATAGTTTTAAAATGTGTACTATAGGCATGGGACTATAACCTGTTTCAATGTTTACGGTTAGGAAAAGTCACATTCACAGTTCTCCAGCAGCAAAGACTCAACAACATCAAAAGCTATTGGTCAGCCCATGATTCAGCAATCATTTGAAAAAACAAATAGTTTATGAACCAACATCCAAGCATGCTATAGACCTGAACAGTGCAGTGACGTTATATCCAAAGAAAATAAAAATATCCATAGATGCCCTTTTTTCTAGATGCCCTTGCAACTGATAAAGATAGCAGAAGTCAATGATTTATTTGAATTATTTAGCCTGACATGTTTACTGTTCCAAAATATTTGAAATGTTTCTTAAAATAAAGCACATTGTGTTTTTTTTCATTTAAAAGAACATATTTAGAGCAGTAAATACTCCGAAACCACAACATTTTTTGTCCAAGGTTAGCATACCATAAGAATCTTATACCGACCCATGCCTAGCTGTAATAATAATAACATTTAATGAATAAATTAATGAATTAATTAAGTTTTCCCTTTAGTGTTGATTTTTTTAAAAGCATTTTGATTCTCTGTGAAGTGAGGATGGGTTTTCAGTAGTTTGGACAGTTACTATGCAATGCTGCTTCCTATCTGTGATTTCAGCACCACGGACAGAGGATCTATATGTTCATGTTAATATAAGTCTAGGGCTAATGGTCACACCTTTTTTTCTAGTTTCTCTTTCTCTAAATTTTGTTGAGAGTAAATGTCTATAGGCACATACTCGAAAGTTGGAATAGAATGAAAACTCTGGTAAAAGTGCATATTATAGATTTTTTTTTTTTTGACATTTTGTTTTTGTAGAGCTTGTAATGTTTAATGAAAATGTCAGAATTTTAGCCTTCCGCAGAAATTTCAGACTTCTCTCTGGTGATGTACGTGTCATTGAGTTTGTATAAAGCATGCTGCTTTCTGACAATAGAGTGCATAAGTGCACACCCAGCAGCATTTTTCAGCAGAGTGGGGTCCAGAAGCATTTTTTCCTATAAAGATTTTATTAGAACATTACAAGCAGAGAACAAAATCAACAAAATAAAGAGAGGTTTATATTATGATGATTAAAAGCAAAGGAATGAAAATCAGACCAAAAAACCATACAAGACTGTACACTTAATGGCTTTATAATGAGAGAATTTTTTACAATTGCATGAAGCAATTTGAAGGACACAGCCAATTTAACAAGGATGCAGAAATATTAAACAATTATTTTAAAGTTGTTGGTTTGCTAATAATATATTTCAAATTAATTTACAATGTGCAGAAGTGTCATAAGATTGGAAACATCATTTACTTTAGTTCATGTGTTTGGGCGGAGCTGAAGATTTATTCTAAGGGTGCTTTGCTTGCTGTGACACTGATTGGTGGAAGTTTTTTTTTACACAGCAACATGGGTCATTTGTCTGAACATATTATGTTATTGTTTTTAAACAAGTTGAATGAATGCAAACAGATGGCTTAAAAATGCAGCAACAAAAATGAACAACTGATTAAGAGCCTCAGAGCTCACAACAAGTCTGTTGGTTTATCAGTTGGGTCTCACTATCTTAAGTGGCCTTAACTAATATGTACTTACAAAGGAATTAATAGTTTGTTACAATGTACTTATTGTGTAAATACATGTATTCACTGTGTACTTATGCTTGATTAAATACATGTAATTACATCTGTAATTAACTTTTGTAATTACATTTGTAAATACACTGTTGACCATCCCTTACACCTTAACCCTCCCTTAAACCTACCCATGCCACCTAACCTGTCCATAACCTAACCTCTATACCAACTCAAAAGCACCACAAGTGTTCTTAAACACATTATAAACACAGTAAGTACATTGTATTTATTTTTTGATGTAAGTACATAGTAGTTAAGGACACTTAATTTAAAGTGGGACCAAAAACAATACTATTAAATTTTCTACTATTCAATTATCAATTAAAAAATGTATAAAACAATAAATTGATTTATTAAGAACTGAATGTTTAGCAAAACCTGAGATAGTACACTGTAAAAGAAATCAGTACAATTTACAATTTAAAAAAATGACAGATGTGGTTGCCAGTATATTATCTAGTAAAAGTTATGGTACAAACTGTAAAAGATATTTCAAATTTTTACGGTAAATTATCATATTTCATTATTTTAAGTACTAACATCTGCACATCATACCTTTGTTACACAGACAAAAACAATCATACGCATGAAATATAAAGCATAAAACGCAAAGTGTCACGCAGGGAAAGAAAGTCAATTTACACTTATTCATCATATATATTAATTAAGAAATTTACTCTCAACCAGGTTACAGATTTTTACTGTGTTTTGCTGTTTTGTTTTTTTTACTGCAACTTACTTTGGACTACTTTGAACAAAGTGTTTAAAACCAACATCAACACCAGCTATATATCTAAAAACAATAATTTCTGTACAAAAAATTACACAAATTTCTGTACGTAAAAAAGTTTGGAAATACATGTTTATATATTTCCTATTTTATGCAAAAAAATTATATTAAATAATTATGTTTCAAGAAGACATAAATTCATTCATTTTCTTTTTGGCTTAGTCCCTTTATTAATCAGGGGTCGCCACAGCAAAATGAACCGGCAGCTGCAACCCATTACTGGGAAATACCCATACACTCTCATTCACACACATACACTACGGCTAATTTAGCTTATTCAATTCAACTATACCACATGTGCTTGGACTTGTGGGGGAAATCGGAGCACCCGGAGGAAACCCATGCCAACACAGGAAGAACATGCAAACTCCACACAGGAATGCCAACTGACCCAGCCGAGGCTCAAACCATCGATCATGCTAATTACTGAGCCACCATGTTGCCCTATATTTTATTATTATTAACAATATCTTTTGTAGCATCACCTTAAAGATAAAGAAATTCAATTATCAATTTTTTGAATGTATAAAAAAATAAGTTACTAAAAACTGATCATGTAACAAATGTGGAGAAAAAAATGGGTAAAAAAATGGCATCAGTGGTTGTCAGATAAAAAGTTAAATTGATGGTCCAAACTGTAAAAGATATTTCTACTCTAATTTCTACAACACATTAAATCTCATTTAATGGCAAATTACCGTACTTCAGCATTTGTAGTTTTAATACACCAGTGATTTGAAGTACTAACATCTACACATCATAGCTTTGTTACAAAGACAAAAACACAGACATAAGTGTGAATGAGAAAGTGATATAATGAACCAGTGTTCATTACAAACTACATTTCCCACACAGAGAAACAAACTAATGACTCAGTGTCATTTACACAACTACTAAATACCACCATGATAACACACATCAAATTTAAGTGAATAAAAATGATTTATCAACTTTAGCCCGTACATTAGAGTAAAAAAACTCAAATGTACATGACTTATGATGAAATAAAAACAAGAAATCTGGGAAATCGATTTACAGTACTTCACCAGATACAATCAAGCCCAAAATTATTCTTACCCAGGGGAATCATTCTGGATTTGACTGAATTAAGGAACCTTATTGTTAACCAGGATATAGGGATTTTTACTATAGCATTTCTACAGTTTTTTACTGTAACTTGGGACCACTTTTGAATTAAGTGTTTGAGTATAAGTGTTAATTTGTAATGTAATGTAATGTAATGTAATGTGTATTTATATAGCGCATTTATTGTGTATGGCCATACACCCAAAGCGCTTCACAATCATGAGGGGGGGTCTCTCCACACCATCACCAGTGTGCAGCATCCACTTGGATGATGCGACGGCAGCCACAGGACAACGGCGCCAGTGCGCTCACCACACACCAGCTATTGGTGGAGTGGAGAGACAGTGATAGAGCCAATACGGTGGCAGGGGATGATTGGGAAGCCATGATCGTATGGGCCGATAGAGGGACTTTGGCCAGGACACCGGGGTTACACCCCTACTCTTTCACGAGAAGTGCCATGGGATTTTTAATGACCACAGAGAGTTAGGACCTCGGTTTAACGTCTCATCCAAAAGACGGATGAGACGTTAATATTTAAATTTGTTAAATATTTGTGATTCTGTTACATAAAAACAGTTTTATGTTGCAAAGATACATAGTCAAAATCATACTTTTTTCTTTTCTGCAAAAAAAAAAAATGATAATAAATAGGGATGAATTTAAATCTATTTTGATAAATGTGGAAAATTTTAAAATTTCATTGTGACACAC